AGGAGGGGTCTACAGTAAGATACCAGGGAGCCATGTTGCCCATGTGAGTTTGTGTTTCTAAGAGTCTCCCTGGCAATGAAAACCGGTTGCCTCACTGTCAGCATAGAAACCCCTAACAGGAGAAGTAGCAGAGCCAATCCGCACCAGGTGTGGTTCTCACCAAGTTGAACTTCAGTCAGGTCTAGCTGGAGGCTGGATGGTGTGCCAGGAAGCAGAGGGCTTGCTGTGTCAGCCCTCCCCTTAGCTACTTCCTGAATTAGGGACAGACCCAGAGACAAGACCTTTTAAAGCCTTACATTCCTTCTGCTGTACAATGAAGCCACAAAGAGTGACACTGTGGCACCAACACAGTGATTCCCCCATGGGTCTCCCTCCTGCTCTTCCTGAAGGGTGCTAAGGTTCAGTGTGGAATCTAGGCAAAGATAATGTCTCTGATGCAGGAGGTGGAAACACAAACCTCAGGGATAGCTTTGTCTTCTGGGTCAAAGCAAGTGGGTCCCTCTCTCTCTCTCTCTATCTCACCCCCCCCCCGTGTGTGTGTGTGTGTGTGTGTGTGTGTGTGTATGCACGCGCGCTCCCACAGGCATGCACATACTCCTTAGGGTACTGAGGGCTACCAGGCTGTGTCTCTGTCCTGGGTCACAATGAATACAGAGTCACCAAGGAGCAGGGCCTAGAAATCTGACTGAAGAGTTTCCCCTGTCGAGAGCTAGAGCCCATTGCCAGGGCACCTAGTCATCCATGCAGCCTCATCCTGGCCTAGGGATCCACTGTGAGTCTGAGCAGGCAGGCACTCCAGGGCAGTGGTGTGTCTTCAGGAAAGTTTGAGGACTGCTGCTGTCTGGTGCCTAGGAACCTTCTGGATTTAAACCTGAGTGACCTTAGGTAGGTGGTGTCTTTAGCTTGTCTGGGTGTCAATTTCCTCCTTGGAAGATGGCAACAGAGAAGTGCAGGGTGAGTAGTTAACACTGCCACCCCACCCCACCCCCAGCCTGTACCCGAGGAAGTGAGGGGGAAGGAGCAAGGGCAGGGCTTGGGGGGACATTGTGCTAGCACTGGGTTCCCACCTTGTGAGGTCTCTTCACAGCTCATAATACTCTGGGGGCAAGCTTTTCCCCTGAAAAGCAGCAGAAGGGAGCAAGATGGTGACTGCCAATCCAGCAATTCTAGAGCCTAAGTGCCACGCCCTCCCCCTGAGATGCTTTGCAGGTTTGTAGGAGCCCATGGAGAATTTTCCATCGAATGGGAGCTCATCTCATCACTGTGTTGCTTAACTGACTAAAAGACCTTTTTGGTATTTGCTCTTTGTCAGCCCTGAGCAGCACCATGAGCAGGTGCCAGACTCTTGAGCCCTGGAGCTGGGTTGCTGGGATTTGAAGCCAAGTTCCTGCTCCTTTGTGGGAAGGGGCAAGATGACTTCCACCTGTTTCCCTGGCACTACTAAAAGGGGTCACTGTGAGTGAATGACATTAGGTCACAGGCTCCTTTCTCCTGGAGCCCAGTCTACAAGGCATGGGACCCATGGGGCTGCTGTCTCCCGTCAAGCCCTGCAAGGGGGGCTGCGGTGAGGAGAGTTTGAGGAGAAATATTTCAGAAAGCAGGGAAGGGTATGTGGGTGCTTCTCGGGTCTGGGGCTGAAGGACCCCGTCTTTGTGTAAATACTGGTTTCCAGATACACAACCCAGTGTCACCTTCCAGAGCAATTAAGCAAAACATCCTGGCTGCATTCAAACAACATTACATACAAAAACACACACACAAAACAGCAATAATGACAATGTTGTTAACAAAGATGGGACTATTCTAATTAAGACAGGGAATGCTCCAATCTGGCAAAACCTTGGGACTGGTGGGTCTGGTGGGCCTGGTGCTGCAGGGGAGCTGTGGTCTGGTCTGTTTGAGTGGTTTTTAAAATAAATGGAGCTAGCCCAATGTGTTGTGCACTGGTGAAAGACCAAGGCCATGCTTGCTCCTCCCCATGTCTGAACTCTGCCTCTTCACAGGCCCCTCCTGCTTTGCATGTTTTCCATCCTGATTACATTTTCTTACCCTGCACACACTTTATGTGTGTGTGTGTGTGTGTGTGTGTGTGTGTAACAACTTATAAACAAAGTAACTAATACCTGCTTGAATGTGGGAGAGGAGACTGGGTGAATGCTGGCCGTATATTAAACACACTCCTGACTCAGGAGGACCTTGACTCTGGGACTGAAAACCCTGCCTATGCTTCCCCACAGGGCTCAGAAAACTGGGTTGCTGACCAGTGAGAATAAGAAACCTGCTGGTAAGGCCTGGGATTCTCTAGTGCTAGGTTTGTGAGCCTCAGGAAACATCCAGCTATATCTTTACTAGATACTTGAATCAGGGCCCCAGGCCATTTGCAGTTTCTCTTTTAGAAAGGCTATGACCTTGACCATTGGATGAAAATGAAAATGGATTTGGTTTCAAAACTTCTAGAACACATTCTTCCCAACAATCCCACCCCAGCGTCTGGTTTTGCACAGCTCCTTTATTGGTGTGAGCTAGCCACAGCTTTCCTGAGCTGGTAGTGGTGGCATATGCCTTTGTTTAATCCCTGCAAGCAGGTGGATCTCTGAGTTCGAGACCAGCTGGTTTATGGAGGAGTTCCAGGACAGCCAGGGCTACACAGAAAAAACCCTGTCTCCATAAAGATAAAAACAAATAAACAGGTATCATTTTGCAGATCTCTGAAAGAGGAGTTGCAAAGGAGGAGACATCAAGAAAAGGATGGGGGTGTGGCTCAGCAGCATGGTGCTTGCTATGTGCAAGGCTCTGGGTACTGTCGCCAGCACAATTGACAGGGAGCAAGGGTGATATATAAGATTAAATGAAAAAAATCTTGTTTCCATGTTATTGCACACAAATGTAAGATGAAAGAGATGGAGGAGGTTCTGCAGAACCCAGAGAGATAAAAGTTAATCTTTATAAAAGTGAGAATGTGGGTGGTTTCTGAAGGATTTTCCAGGCTGTAAGTTAGACTGTGCGTTAGGCCCCCAGGCTGATCAGTGGTAGAATACTGCCCTACCTGAGCTAGAAGGAGCCTCAGTGCATCCCTCTGAGAAATGAAACCACACTGCCTTGCACCCAGTAGCAGAGACCCTGAAAGTACACGTGGTGTCTGCACTGGCAGGTGTGTCCAGCTTTTTGACATTGTGACAAAGTTCACACTTGATAACCTCACTGATGAGTTACAAAAAGAATAGAAAAATAATTGTGGGTTAAATCAATTTACAGTTTTGTGTTGGTGGGATCCACAGCTGTCCTGGGGTCAAGCAGTGGCCTCTGCAAGTTGGAAGTGGAATGCTAGTGGCTAAGCGGGATATATCTACCTATCTACAGGCAGTGCTGACCTGGCTCAGGTATGAGAGAGGGCACCCACTCTGTGTATTCTTCTCTTCAACACAGCCCAGCCCAGAACCCTGCCATGGGCAACTGTTTGCATGCAACTGCATCTTTACAGTCTGTGCATCTCTAGGACCCTAAGAGGCAACATGGGCAGTCATTGCCTCCACTATGGAAGTAAGAAGTGAGAGCAAGCAAGCTGCTTGGTTTCCACTGCAGCAAAGTTCCAACTCCTGACCCAACCTGACTAAGCCCCATCCCAAGCGCTCCCTGCAGAGCCCCAGTCCTAAACTCCACAAGCAATGTTGAGGCTTCATATAGGGGTGCTGGGCCTGACATTTACTGAAAAAAGTCACTGGTCCATAGCAGTGAGAAGACAAAGCTTGGGCCCCACCCTGATTTCAAAGGTGAGGTTAGTTATCTGGCCCTTAGTGCTGGGGATAGAGAAGCTGAAGTCTGAGTTCTGGTACAAAAAGTTGAGGCATGTTGCCTGCTGGTGGTGGTGCATGCCTTTAATCCCAGCACTTGGGAGGCAGAGGCAGGTAGAGCTTAGTGAGTTCCAGGCCAGCTTGGTCTACAAAGAGAGTTCCAGGACAGCCAGGACTGTTCCACAGAGAAATCCTGTCTCGAAGAAAAAAAAAAAAAAAAAAAAAAGTTGTGGCGCAGTGGGCAAGTCCCACAGCTGTCAGCTTCCACACTATTTCACCAAACCCCTGTTTTTCCTTCTGTAAAAAACAGCAGAGCAAGTTACATTGGGCAATCACACTTGTGTTAACTATAGTGAAATTAGTGACATAGAGAGGGAAGGTGATGCCCCTGAAATCACGAACTCTCTCAGCCATCGCCCACCCGGTTTGGGTTCATCCTCTGTACTCAGTTTTGCTGGGCAGCTCTTGGGGCTGGCAGGGGGCCCCACGGACTCCTGTGAGAAGCAGAGTCAAGAGGAACCTGGACAAGGGTTCTTGGCTCTTCCATCTGCAGGATGGGCTGTGTCATTAAGTCAGGTGACTTACCACACTGCTCTCCCCTCGATGCCCAGCAACAGTGCTGGTCTCAATAGGGTTTAAGGAGTTGAGGTTGGTCTCCCTCAGGCGCCCTCCCTCTCTGAAGCGAGAAGCTAACCTGTTGGGCTACACCTAATTTGCTCATAGGCAAGTCATAAAACCTCTCACACCCTCACCGCTAACCGTGAAAACAGGCCGCCCCTTCGGGGAAATACAAGGCAACCCCATGAAATGCCTAGCAAGGGGCGCTGGTTGTGTTGGCGTTCGTCGGTAGAGGTTCTATGAATTCGTCCAGTGAAAACCCACGTCTGAGACCTGGAGGCGGCCACTGTGCTCGCAAATCCTAAAAGAAGCACGCATGCGGCATCAGCGCACTCACTTTAATGGGAAGAGGGTTCTCATTTCTTACAGCAACAGGTAAAAACATAAATACGGGTGGGTGGGCGGTGGCAAGGCAGCCAGGGCCCGGGCGCCCGGCCCAGGCTCCGGGCGATTCTAGGCCCTCGCACCCGGGCTCCGGGTCCCAATGTGGAATCCGTTAGGGGTGCCGGTGGCCCTGAAAGGGCACTCCGGGGCTGAGACACCAGGCTGCGTCAACGCACTGGGGAACAAAAGGGATGGAGCGATGAAAGTTCCCAGGCCAGCAAGAGGGTGCTTGTGAAGTCCGAGGGACAGGTCAAAGTGGGAGCCCTTTCCTCCCGGCGTCATCGCCCTAAAAGTGGGAGTCGGTCCGGGCGCCTTCCCTACCAGGCTCGGATGCCGTGCAGCGTGGACACGCCCGAATTGCCCTGTGGCATCCCGGGACTCTGCACGGCGTTCAAGTCCCCGACGCCGAAGTTCACGAAGTTGCTGTTGGCGGTGGGAGCGGGCTGCGCGGCGGGGGGCGCAGCGGGGTAGGCGGCGCAGCTGTAGCCGGGACTGCAGGCCGCGCCACCGTAGCCAGGGTAGGAGTAGGCGTTGTAGCCGTAGGCGTTGAGACCCACGCCGTAGGCGGGCGCGTAGGCCGCCGAGTCCCCAAGGCAGGGCTTCCCGTCGCGCACCAGCACGGGCACCGCGATCCTGCGCGCGGGCGGCGGCGGCGGCCCCAGCAGCTCCAGAGTCTGGTCCTGCCGCTGTCGCTTGCACTTGTAGCGCCGGTTCTGGAACCAGATCTTGACTTGCGTGGACGTGAGCTTCAGTACGCTGGCCAGCTGGTCGCGCTCGGGCGCGGAGAGGTACCGCTGTTGCTTGAAGCGCCGCTCCAGCTCGTAGACCTGCGCCTGCGAGAAGAGCACGCGTGGCTTCCGCCGCCGCCGCGCACGGGGTCGCTCGGCGCCGTCAGTCTCGGCCTTGTCCAGCTCCACCGCCTTCTGCAGTGCGCACAACTCTGAAGGGAAGGGAAGGCAGAGAGATAGTCGGTTAAAGCCGCCAGCCCAGGAGCTCAGGGCCCTCGTGGGGATGGATGTCACCCTGTGTTGCGTGGGGCACCCTGCTCAGTTTCAGCTCACTGCCGAATGCGCGGGGTTCGCACGGTTCGAGGTTGGCGCAATTATGCATCTGGGAAAAGCCTAAAGGCATGGATAAAACGAAAACAAGTGCAGGAAACAAGTGCAAAAGGAAACCTAAGAGCAGGACAAAATGAAACAAGAAAAATCTTGCCGCGCTGCTTCCCCCCCCCCCCCCCCGTCTTCTAATGGCAGTTGGTCATTTAGCTTTTCTGGATGCAAAGAAAATAAAATCATAATGATGTTCAGGGGTGAATTATATCAAGGATACTTCGGTTTGACTCTTGGTGGTCAGTTTGTATTTAATCAAACAATTAGAGATCTAGAAGACCCAAAGGTGTGAGTTTGGAGGTCCCCAACGGGATTGCCAGCTGGAGTTTGTGCGACTTCCCGACCTCCCGGTAACCGTGGCTGGGACTGAGTGAGACAGAGGCCTCCACTGAGGCCCAGCAGGATCTGAGTCAGTCGTTAGCAATCAATTCTAGTCCTCCTCGGATGTTCCTGGACGTTCCCTCTGCTCCTTGAGAAACCTACGAATGCTTTCCCAGCTCAAGAAAGCCTTTGGGTCCCTTTGGCTTTTTCCCAGATAGACCCGGAGCTGCGCCTGGGTCTCACCCGGTGTCTGCCTTCTGCCAGCAGGCCAGACACCCTCCCCTATTCTAAGATTTCTTGTATACAGCCAGTTTGTTCGGAAGCCTTCTCTCTGCTCCCCAGCGTCTTCGTTCGTTCCATTATTTTCTAAGATTTCCCAGAAGAGAATTTCTGCCTGGCCCTGCTTGAAAATTGTGCTGGGAAGACAAAGCCAAATCGCATCTCAAAACCCCCCGGCCCTGTTCCCAGACTTCTCTTTTCTGACACAAAGAAGGAAAGGCCCGGGAAAGCAGGATGGGCTAGCCAGGCCTAGGACCCGCGGGCTAAACTTTCTGTTTAGCAGTTCTCTGTCTCAAAATACCCATAAGTCCAAAAGAGATTTTTTTTTTAACCCTCCGATGCGGAGAATTGTTCTACTGCGAATTGTTAGATAGCTTAACTTGGGAAATAGTTCCAAGAGCAAGGCCCCAACCTACTGGGGCTCTGTAGGCCGAAAACAATCTTTTTAAGTCTCTCTCTCTCTCTCTCTTTTTCCCCTGATCTCCTAAATTCGGCGTTTCCTCTAAACCTCCGATTGGCTGAGGGGCGAGAAGATACTGGGCAACCTGGAATCTTTACACTCCAAACTCCCCGGATGCGCTCTTGCTTAACCTGGGTTTCTTTGCCCAGGGTGTTGGGCAAGGAAGCGACTTCAGAGAAGGGTTTGGGGTTCTCCTTACCTTTCTTATCCGCTCGAGGGTCCTTGGCTGGGTCAGGGTCGCCGTAGGCACGAGTATAAAAGGTGGGGGCGGCAGGGAAGGCAGGAGCGCACTTAGGGGGCGAAGGCGCGGGGCCCAGCTCCGCGCGCAGCTCTGCCAAGCTGGGCGCTGCCGCCTCCGGCCCGGAGTAGGCCTCGGGCTTGAAGGCGGCCAGCATGCAGGAGGCGGGCGCCAGGGTGGCCTCGAGGCGCGCAGACAGGTCTCCAGCGGCCAGGCTGCGCTGCTGCTGCTCCAGGTTCAGGATGTCTTTGACTGAAAAGGGCGTGGGTGTGAGCGCAGGGCTGGGGAACATGGTGGCGGCGCCGGTCTCACAGCGCCAGGTGGGCGGCAGAGAGTGGCGCTGCCCACCCCCAGGGACAGCCTCCCCGCATGGTGCCCGCCGCCCGCCCGCGCACACGCCTCTCTACCCTGGTTGTGGCTGGGCAGCAGGTAGCGCGGAGCACCAGGGGCTGAAGAGGCGGGAGCAGGACGGAGCTGGGGGACTCAGCCTGCCATTGGGCCAGGGGCCTCGATGACAGGAGCGACGGGCAGTTCTGTGTCACCTAATATAGACATAGGGTTGGGGGAAAAAATCCTACCCAACTTTTTTAAAGGGGCCGTGACATATTTGGAAGAGCTTCCAGCCTCTGCAGGAGATTGCTCTTCCTTGGCCTGAAAACCCCACCGAGACGCACTCAAAATACCTGACTCTGTTGAACTGGGTCTAAGCACAGTATTGTGGTGGGTCTGGGGTTTGTATAAATATTCCTCTGCACCCATTACTGAGTAGGCTAGTGAAGGGGGGGGGGCAGGAGGGACGTTATTTACAGGGATCAAGATTGTCACTAAAATACTGATAGTTGAAGTCTGGCATAGGAAGAGAAGCTCAAGGGGGACAGTTGTTCTGGGCTGATAACAGACAAATTCAGGACTTTGAGGGTGGGGATATATAATTTGACCTGTAGGACCAATCTCGACGCAGGATTCCAGGCAGGCCCTAAGGGGTTTTGAGCAAGTCAGGCTGAACCGAATGGTGAAGTGGCTAATTGTGGGGTGGGAGTGGCCACCTGAAGTAGACTAAGTTGTGTTGTGTTAGCGCCTTTCCAGGGAGAACCATTCACAAGGAAATTGACTCTTTAGTGAGGAAGCCCAACCCAGGTTCTGCTCTGACGGAAAGCTGTCTGTCCCGCTGGGCCACCAACAAGATCCCAGACCTTTTCTAGCTCCAAGCCCCTGGGGGCCTACCAAGGCTTCCACTCCACAGGGTAGGGAACAGGGCAGGGCAGCTTCAGGGGCATTTTCAGCCCTATGGTGCTTCTGTCTGAAAACAGTCAGGGCTCAAGGAGCCCCAAGTTTTGTTCTAAGAGAACTGCCTGGATCTACGGAACACGTGGCCCCTGCAGACCCCTGCATAAGGCACACTGGAGCGTTATCCAGCTATAATCTCAGAAAGAGAAGACACAAGGCCTCCAGGCAAATGCTACCCCATCAAAGGTGTGATAAGGCTGGACACTATAAGAGCTTGGGCAGGGAATGCAAAGGATATGGGGCCTACTTGGCTACCCCGAAAGAGGCCCTTGGAATAGAAAAAAGGGGGGACTGTAGAGTCAAAGGTAGCTAAATAAGGCACTCCCAACTCATGGGCTCAAAGCCTAGAGCAGTAAAACTGTGTCAGTACAGAATGTAAACTGTCCAACCCAGCAGGACAGTGGACCTTTGGAGAACGCTGGCACCATCTGGGCCATCCTGAAGCCAGCATAGACCTGGACTGAGTCCCTTCCCACTTTTCATCAAACCCAAACTCCCAAGGCCTTGGGCCTTCAACTGAGGGAGCAGAAGGGCCCAGCTCCGCACAGACTGTGAAGCCTGCTGCCCAGGAAACCCAGCTCTGGGCTGGAGGCATCAATGCCAGACTGAGTAGCCATTATGAGATCTCAACCCAAGGATCACAAAGCTTTTTTTCTGAAACTACTAGTTCCAACTACAGAGGAAGCCTTCCCAAATGCTGTGGGGACTCAAAAACTAGATCTCTGTCCCTCCACTTCCCTACCTTCCAGTGTATCCCTCCTCGACACAGTCTAACTTTGGCATCTTTTGTTTTTTGTTTTCTCTTGCTGTAGCTCTTGATCACTTTATAATTACTGCTTTGAGCAACCTAGCTGGGATCCTTCTTGCGTTTGAAGACTGGTTTCTGTGGGTTGGGTGGGATGCCTATCACCCAGGCGGTGACGTCTGGCGAACGAGCCACATCCGATTCAATTAAATGTCTTGCTGAAAACAGCTTCGGGCGAGGGTCCTGGGAGCCCTGTTAAGTGAATCGGCTGGCCCTGCGGATCGCGATGACAGTTTGAAAGATTAGTGTGAGCCGACGCCTGAAATATTACCGTTTAATGGGGGTGGGGGTACACATCGGGGCTGCATCCGGGATCCCTGTTTTAAGTTTTTTTTTTTTTTTTTTTGATAGTTCTGAAGAAGGGGGCATTTCCTTTGCAAATCAAGATGGTGAGGATTTGTCACCTATTTTCGGATATAAGGGCTCCAGAGCTGACAGATCTGTGGGTCAGGTGACAAGAAAAAGGAAGAAACCCCTTCTAATTCGAACAAAATCAGTGACTTCCCCACCCCTACAAACTTGGTGAAAAGGCCCTGGCCTTTCTCTCTGGAGAGGAAGCCGGACTGAGTGAGATAAATAGACAAATAGAATTGGGGTGACCCATGAGACTTTCCTCAGAGAGCTGTCCAGACCACTTTCCAACTTGGCTTCAGCCCTGGCTGCCTTCAAGCCAGTACCAAAGGAATATATGTATGTATAATATATGTGTATGTAAATATGTATATCTTAAACAGAAGTTACAGTGGTTGGGAAGGAGCACGTCTTTCTCTCCAAGGGCGGCTGGCTCAACCCGGTCGCTAAGAAGCACTTGGTCAAACATACAACCTCAGCGAGATGGACAGAGACAAAGGAGCCTGGAGGAAACAACGAAAATCTGCTGGGCTATTTCTTTGCCTTTTAAAGACTGGTGCATTAGGATTAGTCAAATTCCGGGGTAGCTCCGGCCCATTCTGCGTAAATAAATTATTATTGATTGAAAAGCGATCGGCATGGCCCAAGCTGCCCCCCCCCCGAATCAGCAGCGCCGGCCGCGAAAGGTATATATGATTAATTGAAAGATAAGCTGCAACTATCACCCGGAATGTCATTAATGCGCCGGGGAGACGTCCATTGGAGACAGGCTGCGTTATCCGTAGCTTTATCTTCAACAACGCCTCGCTCTCTTGGCCCGCGCGGGGGAAACAGATGGGGGTTTCTGTCTGGGACGCTCGCCCCATGTTTATATTTTGGGAAGAATCGCAACTCTAGGGAGTCCCCGGCGGGCCCCCTGATAAATGAACATTAGCACTTTTTCGGACTACTGTATCAACAAAGGGGCCGCGGCGCGGCAATAATTGGCGAGAAAGCAAACAGAGGGCCGAGAGCGCGACTCTGCTCTTCGTCCGGCTGATGGATGAGCAGCGCGGCCGCCTCCCGGCCTGGCCCGGGCTTCCTTCCCAAGGGTCGCGCAGGGCCGCTCGGCTCTGTATCGAGGGACGTCCCGGGCTGAAGGTACCCAGCCCTCCCCGTCTCAGTAGCCAGTGCCCTCCGAAGAGGTGCGTCTTGTGCGTCTTGGGTCCTGTTACCAGACCACTTGGCTAAGAGAATGAGGTCACAGGAGGGAGTGACTTGCTCAAGACTACCCAGATTGGAAGCGACATTGACCATTCCTTAGCTGACACTAGAGCTGGGGATATTTTTTTGTTTGTCAATGGGAAGGAAGCAAATCCCAGGGTCCCTGAGAAGAGGACTTGAAAGTCCTCCCATACTGTCATACTGAAGGGGAATGCACATAATGAGAGAGAGAGAGAGAGAGAGAGAGAGAGAGAGAGAGAGAGAGAGAGAGAGAGAGAGAGAGACCCCTTTTTTGGTAAGGCCTTATTGAGATATAATTCATTCACCATACACCACAATCGATTTGAGAACATTTTCACATTTTCATCACCTCCCCTGTCAGCCCCAGTCACCACTAATCCACTTTCCCCTCTGGATTTCCCTCTTCTGAGTGGTTCATACAAACAAATCAAATAATATAATGTGTGACCTTTTCTGTCTGGTATCTCTCACTTGGCAAAATGTTTCCCAGGTCCTTTTAGCAGCTAAATAACATTCAGTTGCATGGATGTGCTGCTTTTGTTTACTAGTTCCTTAGTTGATTGACATTTGGGTGTTTTCACCTTTTGTTGTTCTCCAGCCTACCTTCACAGACCCGGGAAACCTTCCTCTGTTCTCTCTATTTTCAGTCCTGTCCTTCCCCAGTGAGGACTGAGTTGCCTGTAATATTCTGTTCTTGCCATAGCCCAATTCCTGATTTTAAAAAAGTTTCCAGATTTTCATTCCGTGCCGTGCTTACAGTGTCTGCTAATGGTCTTGCTGCCTAGTTCATGGGGTAGGGCCCTGAGATTACTAACTCCACATAGCCAAGATCCTGATCATTAGCCTAGTTTTTGGCTTTCACCTCCTCAAAGTACAAGTCTGTAGGCTGGCTGAGCCAAGCAGAGAGCAGTCTCCCAAGTGCTGTTTTCGGGCCGGTCTGTGCAAAGTTATTCCAGTAATAGGAAGACTTGAAAGCCACAGAAGTGAGGCTGGTAAAGGACTGTGTATCTGTCTAATCAAGACTCCTACTTACCTCCACATGACTTCAGAGTCAACTCCCTTTGGGGTGTTTGGCCTGATTTTCCCCCACTCTTTCACCCACATTGACCAGGTGGGTAAAAGTGCTGAACGAGCCTGAACTGAGTGTGATTCTCAGAAACCCATGGTGTCACCTGATCTCCACAAGTGCACCCGAACTTGCATACAACAGACACAAAATTTTTTTCTAAGTGCTATTCATGACAGGGATAATAATTTGGAATGTCTGCTTATTTTTGAGGGTGAATGAGGAGGCTAAAACATTGACAAGTTATACAAGATTGCATTAAAAACATTGTCAAAAGTACCACAAACAGAACCAAAGGGAAAAAAATGATCCAGAGAGAAAATGCCAGAAATATGTGACAAAATTATGAGTTAATAATATACACAGAAAGAGTTCAGGTAAAGCAATAAGAAAATTTCTTAGCAAAACATTTGAAAAATTGACCAAGAGTAGTGGAACCTTGTTGGAAAAAAGTGGGGGGAGGAAGGAAGTAAAGAAAAAAAGTTAAGAAATGTCAGCTAAATCAGAGAGAGAAATACTTTAGACTAACAAATGTAAAAAGATTGGCATCCCTGACTTCCCAACAAATGATAAAGTTGAGAAAATTAGAAAAAATAGGCACACTGATTTGTACTGTGGACATTGTTGAATGGGAGAAAGCTTGCCTAGCATCCCTGAGGCCTGAGTTTGATACCCAAGTTTGATGGTCTCTGCTGAGTGAT